GTTAACTTTTAAAATTCTAAACTGACTATCAACAAAAGCAATTTGAACAAATGCAATAAAAAATATTGTACCTATATATATTCTGAATTATTTTGTTGTTGTTAAGTTGTTTAAATCGTGTCTGACTCTTTGTGACCCAATTTTGAGGGGTTTTCTTGGCAAAGATGCTGGAGTGGCTTGTTATTTCTTTCTCCAGCTCATTTTACAGATGAGCAAACTGAGGCAAATGAGGTTAAGTGACTTGCCCAGGGTCACATAGCTAGTAAGTGTCTGAGGTCGAATTTGAACTCAGGAAGATGAATCTTCCTGATTTCAAGTCCATTCACATTCTATTCACTGTGCCACCTGGCTGCCCCCTGAATTATTTACAATTTGTTTATATTATACCTATATATATTATATTACATTATATTATGTTATATTATATACATATGTATACATTAATTTTTAACAAAGTAACTAAAGTGCCATGTTTGTTTCTGTGTACCTTTATGAGCTCTTTTTCTTCTGTATATTATGAAAGCAAAGTATAGGGGGTTCTTAAATTTTATAGATAATTTAAATTAAGTAAGGCAGAAAGCTGAGCTGAAATTTAGTAGGCCTCTATATTTAAAAAAGCTATCAGTTCTTGGCTAAGATAAAAAAAAAAGCCTTTGTGCAAATGTTAGCATATGCACATTGTATTATCGGAAGAGATTAATTTTATTAATTTTTTATGACTAGACAAAACTAAGGCTGTTTTAAGAAAACTACTATTATTTGAATCTTTCTGATTTATACCTTTATCTCTTCCTGAAAGTCCTTGAAGCTATTATGCTGTAACATCATAAAAAATGTTTTTGATTTGTTTTCCCTTTCTGTTTTACAACCACTTTATTCTTGATTTGTATCTTTAATGAATACCCTTTAGAGGAGGTAATTTCTAGGCTTTTCTGGAAGTATCTTTAGGAGATTATATAAATTCTGGGCTTCTTATGTCAAAATAAGGAGAGTTGGTTGATAAAGAGAGATCTCTTTATTAGGTAACCATCCTCAAAATTGCTATTTGAGCTACCTGATAAATATTGTTTCTAGTAGATATGATCACCATACACAAGCCTAATTGACTCAGTTTATTTGCTATGACAATATATAACATATGTGTATTAATTGAAATAAAATAATCTGTTTCTGTGTACCTTTATGATCTTTCTTCTATGTATTTTGTTATTACTATTATTTTACGTAGTTGTCACATGTATATGTTGTTCTGATTTTGCTTTCTTCATTCATCATTTTTATTTTTCTAGTCCAAACCTATGATTTAATCAGTATAGAGAATGTCCAGTGACCAATCTCCATGCACCAAAGCAGATCTACATCTCTTCTGCAGTTTAAAGCCTTTATAAGAAATGACGAGCAGGCTGATTTCAGAAAGAAAAAAAAAAGCCTTGAAAGACTTACATGAACTGATGCAAAGTAGTGTGAGCAGAACCAGGAGGACATCACACACAGTAGAAGCAATATTGTACAATGATCAACTGTGAATGACTTAGCTATGCTCAGCAGTACAATGATGTAATTTAAATCCTTGAAAGTGACCTGAGACCCTTAGAAGTTAAGGACTTAGCCAGGCTCATTTTACCAGGAGTAGGACCTGAACCTAGGTCCTCCCAGCTCCAAGATATCCATCTTCTCTACCATGTTGTCTCTCATGCCATGTCTCATGAGACAATAATATTCTTTTGCAGCGTTAGGCAATCATTTGTTTAGCCTTTCCTCCAACCCACTGGGTACAAGTTGCTTCTAGTTTTTTCTATCATAAAGTATCTATGAACATATTGGTACAGATGGGTCCTTTTTTGCTTTTAATACATTTGAGGATCTAGTCTTAGAAGTGGGTATAATCTGTTTTGTTTTCAAATAAAGGCTGGATGACCAAGCACTTGCTGGTTATGTCACAGAGATTATTCTTGCTGTGGTGGGGTCCTTTGCAGCTTTGAGTTTCTGTGAGTCTGATTACATACTGGCATATTGTTTTCCAAAAAGATTGCACCAATTCACGGCTCCAGCAGCAGTATAATAGTGTGGCTATATCTCCACAGACAAGGCAAAATTGAATTTTATCCTTTTAAAATGATCTCTGCCAACTTAATGAGTTCCTCAAAGGTATTTTAATTTGTGTTGCTTTGAGTATTATGAAGTCTGAACAATTTGCAGGTGGTTGTTCACAAGTCATGTTTCTTCTTTTTAGTACAAAATTCTATATACAAATTCTTTTATGATTCACCCTTTGAGAAACTGACTTTGCTCTTATAAATGAATCAATTTCCTGTAGATTTTGGAATCTAGATTTTTATCAAGTATTTTTATTACAAAGTTTCTCCTCATCTGCTTCTTTACTTTTTATTCTGGATGGGTGAATTGCTTTTTTTTTTATTGTGCAAAAGCAATTTTTATACATTTAAATTAATTTGTTTTGCTTCCTATTTTTTTCCTTTTTTCAATAGATAAAATTATACTCTTCCCAACTTTGATAAATACATTATCCCCTTTCTTCTAATTTTTAAATGTTTTAAAAACATTTAGATCTTGTGTACTTAGAATAAATGGAATTTGTTCTACTTTATGGTGTGAGATTTGGCTCTAATCCATTTTTGGCTGCATTGCTGTTCTACTTTCCCATTAATTTTATTGAATAACAATTCCCTTGCCATTGTTTTGAAATTTTAGTTTAAGGTTAGGGATCTACTAAATCAATCACCCATTCACCCCACTCCACTGAAAGTTAACTAACATCCTGATACCTTAACCTGGGATAACTGCTGTATTGAATCCACTATGTAGTCAAAAGATATGATACATTTTGTAACTGTTTTATTTTGTATGAAATCTAGGTGAGAAAAGTCCTTGATTAATATAGAAATCCTTGAAAGCCACTGAATGAAAAAGAGACTAGCATAGGAAATATCCTCATCTTGGTTAAGGAAATTTGGTCATGCTTTGTGGGCATATATAAAACCAGCATGTTAGCTGGCAATTGACAGCTTAGTGATGGTGGCAGTGCCAGGCAAGCTCCTGAGAAGGAATCTCTTGTAGAGGATGAGGGGAGAGTACTTTAATCTCCCTTCCTTCCCACAGACTTTTGGTCAGAGAAGGATTCTGTGAACTTTGAAGTGTCTAGGAGATTCTGAATTTCCCGTCAGTATTTTAGCAGCATATCGAGAACAGGTGACAGCAACTTTCCAGAACTGTTGTTAAATGAAGAAATGTCACGATCTCCAAAGAATATCACAATTGTAGTCAAGGACTACAAAGGAAAATGGGCTGCAGCATACTACCAATCACCCAGCAAGTAATTTACAAGGTGTCTAATATGTGCCAGCGTGCAAAAAGTGTTATAACATATATCATTCAGGAAAAGTATGATCAGAAATGGGGCAGCTAAATGGCACAGTGAATAGAGTGCTGGGCTTGGAACCAGGAAGACTCATGTTCATTGAGTTCAAATCTGACCTCAGACATTTACTATCCGTGTGACCCTGAGCGAGTCACCAAACAATGTCTGCCTCATTTTCTCATCTGTAAAATGAGCTGGAGAAGGAAATGGTAAATCACTCCAGTGTCTTTGCCAAGAAAACCTCAAAATGGCATTATGGAAAGGTGGAAATAATTGAACCACAAAATGATCTAGAAAACAAGGGATAGTTTGATGACACGCCCAAATATTAAGGAAGCTTCTAGTGTATCTCTTGAAGAGATTCTTCATTTGGGGACAGCATTATCCCCATCTTATTTAGGTCCTGATAACTCTGCCCCAAAGTGAGGAAACTCTCCAAGACAAAAAGTAATAGAAAAGAATAAAACCATCACATCATTATTGTCAGCTGTCCTGCTACTGCTTGTATTGCTTTGTAGCTGAAAAGGCTAGACCCCAATAAACATAGCATAGCATCTCCCTACAGTGTTTCAAACCAGTTACTTTTAGAATGCAGTTCTCATACTCTTTAAAACATATCACCTTTTGAGAAAGCAAATACATTTAAGCTCTGTCTATGCTGTATGAGGTAAAAATTCAGTTTTTTCTCAATTCATTTTAACACATGGAAATCTTGCCCTTCAAACTTTCAAGAAATATTAGGATTAAAGGATATCCAAGAATTCAGAATAATGGTCTTATCATTTTCTTTTATTGCATATTCCTGAAGTGAATTTATTTTATTTGGCTGGTCTGAATTTTCTGACTTCTATTTAAAGATGATTAATTATGTTACATTACTAAATGGCTTATTGTTGAATCTCCACTGCACCCTGTGTAGTTTAGATATAGCCTCAAGGTACAGCAGGAAAATACAATTATTAAATATTTTCCCCATTGCCCACTAAATACAGTTCAAACTGCTTAGTGTGCTAGCCAAGGCCCTACCCAATTTACCTCTTAACCTACTTTGCCAACCTTATCTCAGTAGCCCTCTTTCACTTGCTATGAGCTGCCACCAAACTGGACTATTGATCTCAGAGGCTTCCCACGTTTTCCCACACCTGTGTCTTTGTTCTAACCGTATCCTATGCCTGGAATTCTACATCCTTGTTCCTTCCCTCATATCCATTTTAAAAAATCCTTCCTGTTCTTTAAGCCCTTCAAGACTCCTGTATGTCTATGAAGTCTTTTGGGATCCCTATACCTGGAAGTGAGTTTGATCTCTGAGCTCTGATTCTCTTATGCATGTATAATATTATAATTTATATTATATTTTATCTTCCTACATGTCTTTTCTTATGCACGTTCCCACCTTGTTAAGGAGAGGGACACATAATATTAATCTCTATACCTACCCCACCGCTTAGCATAGTGTGTTTATTTTCATGTCTTAGGTGTTTAGCAAATATTTGTTGAATGAATGATTTTCTGAGTGAAATTCTAGAGAAATTACAGGTTTTTAAAAAAATGAGTTCCTAGACAATCCACACCTCCCAAATGCACATAAGCGAATATAAATGACTTTACAACAGTCACAGACCTGGGTGCTTGCTTTGGAAGCTGTTTCTATCTGGGCTTTTAGGATGTTGCATTTTAGTTGATCAGGAACAGGCAAAGGCAGGAGTGGGAACTGAAGACTTTTTTCAGCGACTTTCTTTTCTTCTACCTATGAGGACCAAAAATGCAGGAAGGATTACGAGAGGCAGAGAAAAGAAGGAAAACATACAGAATGACTTGTAATGTTTTTAGTAATAGACAATTATAATGCTTAATTGTAAAATACAAGAAAACATAAACACAACTAGAGATAGCTTACATTTATACAATAATAACAAATCTAGTAATGATGATAAATTATAATGGTCATAAAAATTCATAGCTACGCAGTACATGTTTTGTTGTTCCAGTCTTAGAATTTCATGAGACTATAGATGCTTCCTTCCCTAATGCAGATCAGTCATATGTCTGCCATTTTTTCTTAGAGTTGCCTTGAGCACTAAGAGATTAAGGAGCAGTCCCAGAGGTCAGAGGAGAGCCAGGGGGTAGTAGTGATTTGGAAGCCAAAGGAGAGAGTGTCCAAGAAGATGGGTGGTAAATGTTGTCAAAAACTGCAGAGAGATTAAACAGAATGCAGGCTGAGAAGAAGCCTTTGGTCTTGGCAGTTATGAGATCACTAGTAATTTTAGAGAGAGCTCTTTTAGTAGAGCAATAGGGTTGGAAGGCAGACTGGGAGGGATCATGGGATCATAGATTTAGGGCTGGAAGGGACCTCAGAAGTCATCAATGCAACCCCCTCATTTTTCCAGATAAGGATTAGGCTAGAGATATTAAATGACTTGTCCAGGGTCAAATTGCTCGTGTCTGGAGTGGGATATGAATCTAGATCTCGGTTAATAAATTAATGAAAGGCAACCCTTTCTAGGTAGGAGTTTGGCTGTGGAATTAAGGACAGACATTGGATAATAGCCTTATGAGATGACAGGATCAGGTGAAGATTCATTTTTTTTTTTAAAGCATAGGGGTTACTTGGGCATATTTGCAGGCAACAGAGAGGAGTCCATAGATAGGAGAAGACTGAAAGAGGGAAAGAGATAGACAGAGAAATAAAAAGAGAAAGAGAAAGGCAGAGAGAGAGAGAGAGAGACAGAGAGAGAGAGAGAGAGAGAGAGACAGAGAGAGAGAGAGAGAGAGAGAGAGAGAGAGAGAGAGAGAGAGAGAGAGAGAGAGAGAGAGAGAGAGAGAGAGAGAGAGAGAGAGAGAGAGAGAGAAGGAATCATGGGTGGTTTGAACCATGAGGGGGTAGGACTAAGTAAGAAGGTAGAGAGATTGGCAAAGAGAAGAGAATACAAAGAAGTACAGATAGGAAGGACTGGTAAAGATGTAGAAGGATTTTGAGACATGGACTAGGGCTCATAATGGTACTCATAATTGGCCTTGATTTCCTCAAGAAAGTAGGAATCATGGTCACCTGACCAGAGGGGTTTGATTCTGAACATGCTCTACATTGTCAACTCTCCTTCTTAAAATATGGTGCCCAGAACTGAACACAGGACTCCAGATGTGGTCAGGATAATCATCTCCCTTATTCTAAAGATGTTGATGCCTAAGTCAATGGGCTGCAGGGTTCTGTGCAGTAAGCCCAGTCACGTCACTCCCAAAATATGTTCTGTAGTCATCCTCTAGAAATGCCCGACGTTGGCCCAGCATTCTTTCTCTTTTGGCTGGAGTGATGCCATTGTGTTTATCAGTGTTCAGCTACACCATTCAGACTTCAGAGAGGGGTTGGGGCTGGAACGTGCTCCCTTTTCACCTCTGCCTCTCAGCATTCCTAGTGTCTCTCAAAGGTCAGCTCCAATACCTCCTCCCAACTACCCCAGGAGATGGCACAATGGGAAGAAAAGAATAGTTGCCCTTTTCCTTGGCCTTCTCCCTTGACCTGGCTGACCATTCTCCATCAGAGAATCAAGGTGGAAAGAACCCCCACGGGAGCAGGGGTCCTCCCCTGATTTAGGCTACCCATTTGGTGTCCTTATCCTCCAACCTTCATGCCAGGTCCCCCTTACCCATTCCTGAGGGATCACTGACTCTAATTGCCTTGCTTTCCCCACTGCAGACTAGATGTGATTCCCAGTTATTACTTGGATAAGCTGAAAGTTATCAATTACAATCCTTACATTAAGATGGAGGACAAGGGCAGCTAGGTGGTGCAGTGTATAGAACTTAGAGTTAGGAGGACCTGAGTTCAAATCTGACCTCAGACACTTGATACTTACTAGCTGTGTGACCCTGGGCAAGTCATAACCCCAACTGCCTCACCAAACAGCAAAAAAAAAAAAAAAATGGAGGACTACAAGGGGTTATCATCTGCATGCCACTGTGTCCTAAAGTCCTCCAGGGCAGTCCTGCTGCTACATCCTCCAGATCCTGACCTGCTGAAGCACCCTAAGGACTCTTGTGTCTTGCCATCTGCCCCCACCACTGGATTCATGCCTTTCAGGCCTTTCTAAGTGAACTTCGAACCTGCTGTACCTTCCTGTATGTGTCATTTCCCCCAGGGACTCTCACTTTTTATATTTGTGTCATCACTTAGCACAGTGTTTGGTATAGAGTAAGTGCTTACTAGGTAGCTAACGGATAGACCACTAGGCTTGGAGTCAGGAAGACCTGACTTCAAACCTGGCCTTGGACATTTATACTAGGTGTGTGACCCTGGTCAAGTCACTTAACTTCTGTTTGCCTTGGTGTTCTCATTTGTAAAATGGGGATAATAATATCACCTACCCCTCAAGGTGGTTGTGAAGATCAAATGCAATAATATTTATAAATCATTCAGCACAGTGCCTGGCATGGAGTAAGTGCTATGTGTTAGCTATTGTTATTGTTATTAATAAATGTTCTTTCTATATCAAATTGCTTTCCTTCTCAAGGAGGGGGACAGAGGAGGGAGGGAGGGATAGAATTTGGAACTCAAAAGTTTTTAAAAATGAATGTTATTAAAGAAAAAATGAATGTTAAAAATTGTTTTACATGTAATTGGAAAAAATGAAATATAAAAATTTAAATAATAAGTTCTTTTTTATCCATTCATTCTACAGGAAGCCTTTCCTGATGTCCAGAGAAACTAGTGCCTCCCTACTTGTTCTGCCAAAATACTTTGTTTTATTTTGTATTTACTTGCAAGTGTAAATGTTGTCTCTCTCATAGAATGTGTTCTCTTTAAGGGTGAGAACTCTTTAATTTTGTCCATAGGCACTTAATAAATGCTGGTTTAGTGGACTTTCTAATTCCTGCCAGATTCAGTGCTTTTGGAGTAGAATAATTTAAATTTTATTCCTCAATTAGACTGTATCTTTGCCAGAAAGCCTTTCGTGTTTTTATCTGGACTTGGAATTACATTGGAAAAGGAGATTCCTGACAGGGAAGCTCCCTCTTTCACTACAGAGCAGCACCTGCTCTAATATTCTTGGATTGCTACCTGACACACTGAATGGTTAAGTGACTTGTCCAGGATCACACCACCAGGAAGTGTCAGAGATAGGGCTTAAACCTAGATCTTCCTGGTTTCAAGGTCACTTCTCTCTCTGCCATGACGTGCTACCTCTTACCAGAATCTTTTTCATAAAATGTTTTCAACAGTCAAGGCTGTCTCATTTCAGGTAGGGCTGATGTTTGGTCAATATTCAGCCATTTGACTCTTTGTGACCCCATTTTGGGTTTTCTTGGCAAAGGTACTAGAGTGGTTTGCCATTTCCTTCTCCAGCTCATTTTACAGATGAGGAAACTGAGGCAAACAGGTTTAAGTGACTTGCCCAGGGTTACACAGCTGGTAAGTGTTTGAGGTCAGATTTGAACTCATAAAGATGAGCCTTCCTGACTTCAGGCTTGGCACTCTATCCACTGTGCCAGAGTAGGCTTAAGTAAAACCATCATTTATCACCCTCATCTGTCCATTCTACAGACAAGAAGTCACCAATCAACAACAGAAGTTGGTTCTTGTACTCTCCAGGTAGACAGAACCTTCCTGGTTCAAGCTGCCCTTGAGTCAGGAGGTTTCCTTGTAATATCCTGCTCCCCCCTCACAGAGGAAAGAAAAACAATCCATTTCTGAAACAGAACGTTTTCTTCTTTCCATTCTTCAGGCAGTGGCTAAATTAAAGAAGGCCAGCAACAGGGTACGAGTGATTAACGAGGGACAGTGTGACCAGAGCAGAGATCACTGATTGTCGTCTCAAGCCAAGTCTTGCTATACAAAGTAATTATTAACTGCAGGAGTCACTTAGGCAACTATTAACATGTAAACCCGTTTCACCCAACCAGAAAGACTGGTAATTAGAGCAAAGTAAGGGAGCGAACAGGTAGCAGAGAACGGGAATGGATTAACTGAACAGGAAGGTGTAACCACTCATGAATGTCTGGGGTGTTACTTGAAGAATGGCTGAATCAAAAGTTTTAAACATGAGAGACAGAGACGCAGAGTCAGAGAAAGTTAGGAAGAGGTCATGAGATTTGGAATAGGAAGGGATCAGCTAGTTCAACTTTCTCATTTTCGAGATGAGGAGTCAGGAAAACCTGAGTTGAAATATGATCTCAGATATTTACTTGCTGTGTGGCCCTGTGTAAGTCACTTAACCACCGCTGGCCTCAGTTTCTTCAATTATAATATGGGGATTAATAATAGCACCTACAGACTCGGGGTTGTCAGGATTGAATGAAATAATATTTATAAAGTGCTTAGCATAGCACCTGGCATATAGTAGGTGCTTAATAAATGCTTTTTCCCCTTCTCTCTTCTGATCACACCGGAAGCAGAAAAGCTGGGACTAGAATTCAAGTCTCTAGGTTTTTCTGACAAGACTGGCCATTTCAAGAGTAGATCATTCATGCAGCAAGCACTCAGTGCTAAAAATGACATGGTGTTGATCTATGAACCAACTGGCTTTCCTCACTGTGCCTTCTCAAGGAGGGGGACAGAGGAGGGTGGGAGGGATAGAATTTGGAACCCAAAAGTTTTAAAAATGAATCTATGAAAAAAATGAATGGTCTATGAACCTTACTGTGGTTGATAGTATGTATTATTATTCCAGTTTTGCACCTGAGGAAACTGAGACTCAGATAAATTAAGGAACTTGCTTACCTGTTGTAAAACTAGGGCTTGATACCATAGAC